AAATAATTTTACAAAGCGCGTGGCACGACAACTATTATGGGCGCAACTCATCCGAATTAATTACCTACAGAAATCGGCAGCTTTACAAAAGTCGACGACGTTTGTCCCACCGGTCGGAAGATCTATCTCACTCGTCCTTCGCAAATTCTCTCGCAACGCTTCCTGAGACCTGCATTCTCACCGGTATCCTGCCGAACAGTGCCGAGCGAGAGTCCTGCAACAGACACGCCGGCGCGATAAATCGCGATTATGCCACCTGTGGCGCTTCCGCGTTACGCACGGCCGTCCTGCGGTCCTCGCATTCCTTGCTGTCATCACGGCTGTATTAGTGAGTCCATCGCCCCGTATTTTCCAAATTTGTGCTGTCTTCCGGCTTAGTTTGCGGGCTTCCGGCAGCGCCCGATCGGCTTTCATTCCTATCTGGCAGAATAGGTCCCAGGATGAGAGTCCTCTCGCCGCTCCGTCTTTGGGGACTCCCTCGCTTCGTGCAGGTGGAGTGGCCGCCCCTCCTGCCGGATCCTACCGGCCCTCCACGCCTCTTTTCAGCCGTAAAAATATAAGATTAACGGCAGCAATGTTTATTTGCCACCAATGAAGTTTTTAATATAATAAAGCGATTACGACTTGGCGGCTCCCGCTCTCTGGATGTCTTAGACTCCTGCTCTCGGCTGCCTCTCTTCTCTCTTCCTCTGCTTCCGCCGGATGGGATCTCGCCGTTTAATCTGGTGCCGACAACTAACTCGCGGGCTCATAATCGAGCTTACAGCTTTGGTCTTAAATCTAACGGGGACCAGATCTCGTAGATCTGGCGATCGGGCCGCTCTCTCTCTAAATCGGGAGAACGCAGGCCCCCGAAAAACCGCCCGCGATCGGACCATTCAGTCCTTGTGACGGACGCTCAAAAACGTCATGTCAGAGTATATGTATATAATATTTGTAGGTGAAATAATTCATTTTTTTTAGTCTTTATTCGTCCCACTAAAATGCAATAAAACGTTGTTTGCGGAGATGTATATTTAAATAGTATACTACGAGATACAGTTTTTTTATTATGTTAAAGATTTGTTATATGTTAGACGTTATACATTATCACAGATAATGCTATCTAATACTAAGATTAAATAGAGATAAGGTAATCTAAGATTCAATCTCTATTATGTATTTTTTTGATAAAATTCACAAGATATTATTGGTACATATAAAAATAATATTAACAAATAAATAAAGAGACAGGCAAATGAGAGCCAATGCGCTGGGTGAGGGGCGCCAAAAATATTCTTCGTGTATGTAAATTGAATTTATTAGGCGTTTCGGTTCGAATATGGGACCAGATCGACCTGGTCAGCGCGTACAACCAAATTCCGGTACAAGAGCAGGATATACGCAAGACAGCCATCACAACACCATTCGGACTATACGAGTTCGTATATATGCCCTTCGGGCTGCGCAATGCTGCGCAGACATTTCAGCGATTCATGAACGAAGTAATACATAGACTCGATTACTGCTACGCATATATAGACGACATCCTGGTAGCATCCCGCTCTAAAGACGAACATAGAACACATTCACAACAACTATTCGAGCGATTGAACACATACGGCATCAGGATAAATTCAGCGAAATGCGGATTCGGGAAAAAGGAGATAAAATTTCTCGGATATATGGTATCAGCAAACGGGACACTACCAGAGAAAGTAGAAGCCATCAAGAACTTCCACAAGTCAAGTACCATAAAACAGATGCGACAGTTCTTGGGCACGATAAACTTTTACAGGCGTTTTATACCAAGGGCAGCCGGCGACCAAGCAAAACTGAATGACGTCCTAAAAGGACCTAGAGCGAAGAACAAAACTCCAATTGAGTGGACAGCAGCACTCGAAGAAGCATTTGAGAAGTGCAAGGACAGCCTGGCACAAGCAACACTGTTGGCACATCCCGAGCCGGGAACAGAACTGACACTAACAACAGACGCATCAGACACGGCACTCGGAGCAGTGATACAACAAAAAAGCGAGCAAAAATGGCAACCATTAGCATTCATGAGTAAAAAATTAAATCCGGCACAAAAAAAATACAGCCCGTACGATCGCGAGCTACTAGCAGTGTATACAGCTATCAAACACTTTCGACACATGCTAGAGGGAAGAGAATTCACGATATGCACCGACCATAAGCCGATAATATATGCCTTCAACCAAGATCCACTACGCAGCTCGCCACGCCAAGCACGCCAACTCGACTTTATCAGCCAATTCACGACCGATATACGACACCTACCAGGGAAGAAAAACGTCGTAGCGGACGCACTATCCCGGGTAGAAGAAATACAAACGGCTGTAAAGTACGAAGACCTTGCAAAATCACAGGAAGGAGACACAGAACTACAAGCCTTGCTACTCAACAAAACCGGATTAAAGCTAAAGAAGATCCCTATACCGGGAACGACCACACAATTATATTGCGTCATAGCAACGCTAATAACGCGCCCATTCGTGACCAAACCATATAGACAGCAGGTTTTTAAATTCCTGCATGGCTTGGCTCATCCAGGGATCAAAGCAACGGCAAGACTCGTCGCGCAACGTTACGTGTGGCCAAACATACAACGGGATTGCAATAGCTGGGCACGAGCATGCCTAGCATGTCAAAAAGCTAAGATTACGAGGCACAACACGACTCCGATAGGGACCTTCCAAGCCCCAACAAAGCGATTTCAACACATCTACATAGATATCGTAGGACCTTTGCCGATGTCAAGAGGAAGCCGATACTGCCTAACAATGGTCGACCGCTTCACGAGATGGCCAGAAGCAGTTCCAATACCAAATATAACGGCTGAAACGGTAGCAGAACATCTCGTCACGCAGTGGATAGCACGATTCGGAACGCCAGCAAGGATAACGACGGAACAGGGACGACAATTCGAGGCAGAAATGTTCAAACGGCTGACTCAGCTAACAGGTTCAACACACCTACGAACGGCGGCCTATCACTCAGCTTCCAACGGAATGGTAGAAAGATTCCATAGACAATTCAAAGCGGCAATAAAATGCCACGCGACGGAAAGATGGACAGAAATCTTGCCGATCGTGTTAATGGGAATACGAGTCGCATGGAAGAAAGACCTCAAAACCACCACCGCAGAACTGGTGTACGGCGAACCGATACGCTTGCCAGGCCAATTCCTAATAGACGAAGACAAGAATGGCTACAACAACGAGGACATAGTAGAAAAACTGCGGGCAACAATGGGCAAACTACGCCCACGCCTCAGACGGCACGGAAAGAAGGCAACCTTCGTCTTTAATAACATGGCAACAACACCGACAGTTTTCGTACGACACGACGCACCAACAGGGGCACTACAACAGCCGTACGACGGCCTATATAAAGTCCTCCAAACAAACGAGAAAACCTATAAAATACAAATCAACAAGAAAGCAGTCAACATCTCAGTCGACAGACTGAAACCAGCATATAGCTTGGACGAAGAGACGCTACGGCCAGAAGAAGAAGCAACAACGCCAACAACGCCTACACCACCAGCAACAACAAAAGCACAACAAACCCGAAGCGGAAGAATAGCACGCCCGCCAGTGAGATTCGCATACGGATCATAGAAAAAAGGGGGGACCTTAAACACAAGGGGATCCTGTGGCGGATAACTACCACAAAAGCTCAGGCGCGAGAAGAATAGATGCACTCCTGAGAACGACCGGCGATCACGCGCATGACACATGAAAGCGCGCGGCTGCTATCACGCGCCGAACACGAGCAAGCCCGCAGGAACTTCGGGAGCCCACCGAAATGCGGCGCCAACCGAGAGCCGCTACCAGCAAATGAAATCCGTTGAGTGACAGTATATAAGGACACCAGCGGAGCGAAATAATTAGTCGCGGCTCAGCGCTGCTGGAGAGGACTTCTCTCGTGAAGCACGGCTGAGTTAGCGACGGCTGACAGAGCTCGGGTCCGTCAATTACTTTCTTTCGCGCCTTGTACAGACACAGCAAACAAGGAGTAAGGAGACGTCCACGTCCGTTGCCGCCGCCCACCTTACGTGGGCTCTTTGAGCGGACAGGAGTGGAGCCTTCACCAGAAGCACCCTCCCCACGTCGCGTCTGCTGGACGCTGAGGGAGTGAAAACTGCAGCCACTCGAGCTGTCGCCGGTGCATTGCACACGCCCTGGACGGGAGTTACTCTCGACGTGGGATGCGTCCGGCGCTATACCTCGCCGACCTACGGGTGGAAGTGCCCGTCTAAGCTCTCTCCGCTACCACCTTCACTTTCGGAACGGACAGCCCGCGGGACCCAGACACACCCCGAGAGCAGGGTGCATCGCGGCACTCAGGTTCACTCCTCCACATACGAGAAGGCGACGCAGGCCTCCAACAACACTTGCGAGAGAGCCACGCAGTCCAACCTCTCAGACTGGGAGGAAGTGACGCAACACCAGGCCACGCAGACAGACGTTCCGACATCGCCGGAAAGGAGTTACATTCCTCCCGGGACTCCACTCGCGCTCCGGAAGTGGGGACCACTCCGGACGACTTTGACGGCATCTCATTTCCAGTGGCGAGAACGCCTGTCCTAACGCTTACACCCGCGTTCAATCGGCCCTTTTCAGGGCCACAAACAAACAAATCTAAAAATAAACACCTGTATATAACTAGCGAACTTGTAATTACGTAAGAATATATTTCTGTACATAGTAAATCGAACGTGTTCATTGAAGACTACCTCTCCACGACCACTCTCTGTTTGCGAACCGTGAGGTAAAGAAGCCAGCGAACCTCCGCACAACCCCACATTCTGTTCTCCTTGAGTTATCGCTTACCGATTTTAACTTTGATTTTTGAATTTAATTTTTATATATTGTTATCTATGAATCACAAAAACAGTCCAAAACGTACATAATTAATAGATACTTATCAATGAAATTAAACAACAAAAAATTTGCGCACCAATAACCGTGCCTTGGCTCTTATTCGCTAATTTCCTTACTTAATATCGTTTTTATTAATTGAAACTTAAACTTAAACAGATTATATATTATATATATATCACGCATGCAACAACGTAAATTAAAAATAATTAAAACGAATTATTAATTAATTCATATCGTCATAAAATGTTACAATACAATGGAATCGGTACAGTGGTGACTATTATTATTCTAATTTACAGATGTTTTTTTCATCTTTTTACTTTTGCTTCTTAAAAGGAATGCCAAAGCTTGAACTAAGCCTGATTAATTTTAATTATTTTCAAATATATTCCACCCTTTGGTGCTAATAGAAACGCTTTAGGATCAATTACATAGGGTATTTGCGTTTTATCGCAAGTTTCGACTTTATAATTTCGTAGTATCCTTATAAGACCAATCTTTGTCTGATAAACAGCGAAGCGAGCACCTGAAAATAAAAAAAAATTATTACAAAAAAAGTTTCTTGACTAAAACAATTTTTCGTGTAAAAACAAAATGAACGGAACTTGAAGGAAATGAATATAAATCTACATATTTCACTTTACCAATGCAATTCCTTGGTCCATCACCAAAAGGTAAATAATGCATCGCGTGCCTGGCTTGCACTGCTTCGTCAGTAAATCTTTCTGGATCGAAAACATCTGGCTTCGGATAAATATCTGGATCTCGATGAATAGCGAAAACCGGAATCCACACCTTTTGGTCTTTTGGTATATTTAATGTGATACCATCGAAAGTATAACTTGATGTAGATTGTCTCATAAGAAATGTCGCTGGCGGATATTTTCGTAAAGTTTCTACATATATTAAAAACAATATAAGGAATAATTACTTGAAGAGTTATTTGTGAAATATAAATTATAGAAATGCATGTATATCTATTAAAAATTAATATTAATAATATTAATTTAATAATTAGGAAGAATTACTTGAAGAATTATTTGTGAAATATAAGTTATAGAAATGCACGTATATCTATTAAAAATTAATATATTAGCAATAAAACTATTGATATTATAATAATGCTAAAAAAATCAGTACATCTTTCTTTTATTAAATTTTTTTCTTCGAATAACGTACCTTTGAAAACTTTGTCCAAGTAATTCATCTTTTTTACGTTCTCATATGTTAAATTGCTACCGTGCTTAGTGTACTCTTCATCAATTTCCTCACGTAGCTTGTCTTGTATTTCCTGATTTAATGCCAACTCGTAAAGAGTGTTACTCATGGTCGTCGATGAAGTTTCAAAGCCGGCAAGGAAAAATACGAATGCTTGAGAAGCTATCAAGCTTTCAGTCATCTCTGAAAATATTCTTCGTGTATGTAAATTGAATTTATTAGGCGTTTCGGTTCGAATATGGGACCAGATCGACCTGGTACGCGCGTACAACCAAATTCCGGTACAAGAGCAGGATATACGCAAGACAGCCATCACAACACCATTCGGACTATACGAGTTCGTATATATGCCCTTCGGGCTGCGCAATGCTGCGCAGACATTTCAGCGATTCATGAACGAAGTAATACATAGACTCGATTACTGCTACGCATATATAGACGACATCCTGGTAGCATCCCGCTCTAAAGACGAACATAGAACACATTCACAACAACTATTCGAGCGATTGAACACATACGGCATCAGGATAAATTCAGCGAAATGCGGATTCGGGAAAAAGGAGATAAAATTTCTCGGATATATGGTATCAGCAAACGGGACACTACCAGAGAAAGTAGAAGCCATCAAGAACTTCCACAAGTCAAGTACCATAAAACAGATGCGACAGTTCTTGGGCACGATAAACTTTTACAGGCGTTTTATACCAAGGGCAGCCGGCGACCAAGCAAAACTGAATGACGTCCTAAAAGGACCTAGAGCGAAGAACAAAACTCCAATTGAGTGGACAGCAGCACTCGAAGAAGCATTTGAGAAGTGCAAGGACAGCCTGGCACAAGCAACACTGTTGGCACATCCCGAGCCGGGAACAGAACTGACACTAACAACAGACGCATCAGACACGGCACTCGGAGCAGTGATACAACAAAAAAGCGAGCAAAAATGGCAACCATTAGCATTCATGAGTAAAAAATTAAATCCGGCACAAAAAAAATACAGCCCGTACGATCGCGAGCTACTAGCAGTGTATACAGCTATCAAACACTTTCGACACATGCTAGAGGGAAGAGAATTCACGATATGCACCGACCATAAGCCGATAATATATGCCTTCAACCAAGATCCACTACGCAGCTCGCCACGCCAAGCACGCCAACTCGACTTTATCAGCCAATTCACGACCGATATACGACACCTACCAGGGAAGAAAAACGTCGTAGCGGACGCACTATCCCGGGTAGAAGAAATACAAACGGCTGTAAAGTACGAAGACCTTGCAAAATCACAGGAAGGAGACACAGAACTACAAGCCTTGCTACTCAACAAAACCGGATTAAAGCTAAAGAAGATCCCTATACCGGGAACGACCACACAATTATATTGCGTCATAGCAACGCTAATAACGCGCCCATTCGTGACCAAACCATATAGACAGCAGGTTTTTAAATTCCTGCATGGCTTGGCTCATCCAGGGATCAAAGCAACGGCAAGACTCGTCGCGCAACGTTACGTGTGGCCAAACATACAACGGGATTGCAATAGCTGGGCACGAGCATGCCTAGCATGTCAAAAAGCTAAGATTACGAGGCACAACACGACTCCGATAGGGACCTTCCAAGCCCCAACAAAGCGATTTCAACACATCTACATAGATATCGTAGGACCTTTGCCGATGTCAAGAGGAAGCCGATACTGCCTAACAATGGTCGACCGCTTCACGAGATGGCCAGAAGCAGTTCCAATACCAAATATAACGGCTGAAACGGTAGCAGAACATCTCGTCACGCAGTGGATAGCACGATTCGGAACGCCAGCAAGGATAACGACGGAACAGGGACGACAATTCGAGGCAGAAATGTTCAAACGGCTGACTCAGCTAACAGGTTCAACACACCTACGAACGGCGGCCTATCACTCAGCTTCCAACGGAATGGTAGAAAGATTCCATAGACAATTCAAAGCGGCAATAAAATGCCACGCGACGGAAAGATGGACAGAAATCTTGCCGATCGTGTTAATGGGAATACGAGTCGCATGGAAGAAAGACCTCAAAACCACCACCGCAGAACTGGTGTACGGCGAACCGATACGCTTGCCAGGCCAATTCCTAATAGACGAAGACAAGAATGGCTACAACAACGAGGACATAGTAGAAAAACTGCGGGCAACAATGGGCAAACTACGCCCACGCCTCAGACGGCACGGAAAGAAGGCAACCTTCGTCTTTAATAACATGGCAACAACACCGACAGTTTTCGTACGACACGACGCACCAACAGGGGCACTACAACAGCCGTACGACGGCCTATATAAAGTCCTCCAAACAAACGAGAAAACCTATAAAATACAAATCAACAAGAAAGCAGTCAACATCTCAGTCGACAGACTGAAACCAGCATATAGCTTGGACGAAGAGACGCTACGGCCAGAAGAAGAAGCAACAACGCCAACAACGCCTACACCACCAGCAACAACAAAAGCACAACAAACCCGAAGCGGAAGAATAGCACGCCCGCCAGTGAGATTCGCATACGGATCATAGAAAAAAGGGGGGACCTTAAACACAAGGGGATCCTGTGGCGGATAACTACCACAAAAGCTCAGGCGCGAGAAGAATAGATGCACTCCTGAGAACGACCGGCGATCACGCGCATGATACATGAAAGCGCGCGGCTGCTATCACGCGCCGAACACGAGCAAGCCCGCAGGAACTTCGGGAGCCCACCGAAATGCGGCGCCAACCGAGAGCCGCTACCAGCAAATGAAATCCGTTGAGTGACAGTATATAAGGACACCAGCGGAGCGAAATAATTAGTCGCGGCTCAGCGCTGCTGGAGAGGACTTCTCTCGTGAAGCACGGCTGAGTTAGCGACGGCTGACAGAGCTCGGGTCCGTCAATTACTTTCTTTCGCGCCTTGTACAGACACAGCAAACAAGGAGTAAGGAGACGTCCACGTCCGTTGCCGCCGCCCACCTTACGTGGGCTCTTTGAGCGGACAGGAGTGGAGCCTTCACCAGAAGCACCCTCCCCACGTCGCGTCTGCTGGACGCTGAGGGAGTGAAAACTGCAGCCACTCGAGCTGTCGCCGGTGCATTGCACACGCCCTGGACGGGAGTTACTCTCGACGTGGGATGCGTCCGGCGCTATACCTCGCCGACCTACGGGTGGAAGTGCCCGTCTAAGCTCTCTCCGCTACCACCTTCACTTTCGGAACGGACAGCCCGCGGGACCCAGACACACCCCGAGAGCAGGGTGCATCGCGGCACTCAGGTTCACTCCTCCACATACGAGAAGGCGACGCAGGCCTCCAACACCTGCGAGAGAGCCACGCAGTCTGACCTCTCAGACTGGGAGGAAGTGACGCAACACCAGGCCACGCAGACAGACGTTCCGACATCGCCGGAAAGGAGTTACACTCCTCCCGGGATTCCGCCCGCGCTCCGGAAGTGGGGACCACCCCGGACGACTTCGACGACACCTCAGTGACGAGAACGCCTGTCCTAACGCATACACCCGCGTTCAATCGGCTCTTTTCAGGGCCACAAACAAACAAATCTAAAAATAAACACCTGTATATAACTAGCGAACTTGTAATTACGTAAGAATATATTTCTGTACATAGTAAATCGAACGTGTTCATTGAAGACTACCTCTCCACGACCACTCTCTGTTTGCGAACCGTGAGGTAAAGAAGCCAGCGAACCTCCGCACAACCCCACATTCTGTTCTCCTTGAGTTATCGCTTACCGATTTTAACTTTGATTTTTGAATTTAATTTTTATATATTGTTATCTATGAATCACAAAAACAGTCCAAAACGTACATAATTAATGCATACTTATCAATGAAATTAAACAACAAAAAATTTGCGCACCAATAACCGTGCCTTGGCTCTTATTCGCTAATTTCCTTACTTAATATCGTTTTTATTAATTGAAACTTAAACTTAAACAGATTATATATTATATATATATCACGCATGCAACAACGTAAATTAAAAATAATTAAAACGAATTATTAATTAATTCATATTGTCATAAAATGTTACAATACAATGGAATCGGTACAGTGGTGACTATTATTATTCTAATTTACAGATGTTTTTTTCATCTTTTTACTTTTGCTTCTTAAAAGGAATGCCAAAGCTTGAACTAAGCCTGATTAATTTTAATTATTTTCAAATATATTCCACCCTTTGGTGCTAATAGAAACGCTTTAGGATCAATTACATAGGGTATTTGCGTTTTATCGCAAGTTTCGACTTTATAATTTCGTAGTATCCTTATAAGACCAATCTTTGTCTGATAAACAGCGAAGCGAGCACCTGAAAATAAAAAAAAATTATTACAAAAAAAGTTTCTTGACTAAAACAATTTTTCGTGTAAAAACAAAATGAACGGAACTTGAAGGAAATGAATATAAATCTACATATTTCACTTTACCAATGCAATTCCTTGGTCCATCACCAAAAGGTAAATAATGCATCGCGTGCCTGGCTTGCACTGCTTCGTCAGTAAATCTTTCTGGATCGAAAACATCTGGCTTCGGATAAAACTAGTTTTTCTATGTATTGTTCAAGATGCTCAGCGCATTCCGATATTAAAGAGAACATCTCCTTTAATTTGCCGGACGTAAAAGCGGGCGACAGCTTTACTCTTAAAGGTCGCCATCTTTTAGACTCCAAAGCGAAAAGATGTTGCGACAGTGGGTCAACCTGCAAAATAATGAGCATAATTATAATCGAGTAAATTTTTCAATTTAAGAAGACATTTTGCTGGATTAGAACAACTTGATTGAGAAGAAACTCAAGACTATTTAAAACTAATATCACGATTTTTAATAATCTTAATTATTGGAAAAATATAGTAGCGTGCCGAAGTTATTGAAACACATTTATATAATTTAAATATTATTATACAATTTGAAATATTTGCACATACTTTTTCACTAATAGGAATTCCTCTGTCGGCAAACTTGATAAAATCTTTGATAAGAATATCCTTAATGAATTCTGGATTTTTTACAATAAGAACAGGTGTCTTCCTAGCGAATATTCCAATCATGGATTCATCTTTGTACTTGTTGTATATTTCCATTAAATAATCACCTGTGGCTTTTTTATTAAGCATAACATCTTTAAAATTACCAAAAATCGGTATTGGTTGTGGACCGCGAATGCCACGTGACTTCCAAAAATCGAAGGTCGATGTAAAATAATAATAAACAGCGAGAAGTACGGCAGCAATACCGCACAGTATTTCAAAAGATTCCATTATCCTGCAGCTGCAGATCATTTATCTCGAGCGATGTTTGCTAAAAAAGAAAAAATAATATTTCATCAAAAAAAGATTGTTTGAAAAAATTAAAAATTGAATAAAAAAAGTTTGATAAGCCAAATACATATTTAACGAATTATAAATTTATGACAATTAATTTTTTAATCAGATTTTATCAATATCAGAAAGATCGATAAATCATTTATATAGATATGTATAAGATCTATGTATGTACGAGGGCTGTATGATAAGTACCTGTGTTAGGGGAGGAACGCATTTTTAAAAGTTTTTTTTATCTATTTCTTAACATAGTCTCCTTTCAGCTCGATATACTTAGTCCAGCGATATTCTAACTTTTTTAAGCCATCCAAAAAATATGATTTGTCGAACTCTGCGCTCTTCATCAAAAACGGATGTTTGGCCACGCTTGAATTCATTGAACCAATATCTGATGGTAGTCATCGAAGGTACATGGTCCTTATAAACGGCATGCAACTTCACTTTGATTTCCTCACACGTCTTCCCATCCAAAAAAAGGGATCGAATCACTGACCGCTCAAGTAACACAGTCTGATTATATTCGCTGCGACAGTAAAAATGTGGCTAATATAACGTCCTGCCAGCCTTAATTACAGCTATTTGGCAATAAATGTTATTTTGCTGGACTTTTGACTGCAAAAGCGCTGTGACAGCTAATAAAAAGTCAAAAACGCAGAAATAGCTGTTTTAGCTGTATTAATAGCTGTAAAATCACTGTGACAGCAATAAAAAAAACCAAAACTAGCCGCAGCGATTTTATCTGCATTAATTGGTATGAAGTCGCTATGACAGCAATAACAAAAACCAAAATTTAGCCACAGCTATTTTAGCTGTATTAATAGCTGTAAAGTTGCTGTGATAGCGATCAGAAAAACCAAAACTAGCCGCAGCGATTTTAGCTGCATTAATTGTTATGAAGTCGCATGCGCATGGATAGAAAATATAACCAAAATAGCTGTAATCTGGCTGTAATTTGTATGTCACAGCGAAAGTCAAGAATAACGTGACTATCAGTTTTATATTAAATTTAGCATATATCAGCGATGGTCAGCAGACCCATGCGTTCATTTATGCGGCTCTAAAATTATTATTTAAGGATCTGTGTGTAGTTCTGTAATCACTGTACTTATATAAATTTGCGTCCGCTCTAGTATACTTTATATGTACGTTATAAATTGTAATAATTTGCAATAATTATATAATCTTTAAATTTGATTTAAGTTTAATAAGGCAAAGGTTCCGGGTTGTCAAACGTTCAATTCCAGTTGAAGCCAAAAATTTTTTTTAATACTCTTCAATCTTTTTACATAATTTTAAAATTAAAATTTAACTTTCATTGAATATAAATTTACATATGAAAAATATTATCCGTTTATTAGTTTGTTTATCTTTATTACTATCATTGCCGTAATGTGGCTATGACAACATCTTTACGGCAAAATAGTTGTGCAGCCAAATGGTTATGACAACGTCTTTATAGCAAAATAATTGCGCAGCCAAATGGCTATGACAACGTCTTTACAGCAAAATAGTTATGCAGCCGGGTTGTCAAAGGTTCAATACCAGTTGAAGCCAAAAATTTTTTTTAATACTCTTCAATCTTTTTACATAATTTTAAAATTAAAATTTAACTTTCATTGAATATAAATTTACATATGAAAAACATTATCCGTTTATTAGTTTGTTTATCTTTATTACTATCATTGCCGTAATGTGGCTATGACAACATCTTTACGGCAAAATAGTTGTGCAGCCAAATGGCTATGACAA